GCTTTGCCAGGATGCTCGCTGAAATGCACGCTGGATGCCAGGGTGTCGCTTCTGACTCAGTGTCTCCTAGCACCCTCATCACTTGCATGGTGCCAATTAATTCTGGGGCATTTATAGCCTGAATGCTCTGCAGCAGTGGTTGGAAGCACAAGCATCAGAGCTAGGCAGCAAGCAGCATTTCAGGTGGCTGCACAAGGCTTGCATGGTTCACCCAACTTCAGAAGGTTTGTATGACAATCTGATGGCACCTCGGGGCGTAAAATGATGTGATGCTTCTCTGAGAGGTGCCTGGATCTGTTTATATACCATTCTGGTAGAGAGCCGAGGGTGGAATGTCCCTGATTCATCATTGCTGCGTGCTCACGGTGAAAATAACAATTCAGTTGCTGTTATGTTGAACGAGCAGGGTAGCAATGACTGACAAGAGAGCCGTGAGTCATTCCGAGCTACGCATCTCCATGTACCTCTGATCCGAAAAGCCCAAACAGATGTCTAAGCTTTTCTGAAATGCCTAAGAACAGCTGGCTAAATCCAGGGAGCACCAACGGGCTGCGCCTTGCCGGTCCCTCGCTGCCCAGCAGCCTGCCAGATGCCAGCAGCAGCAGCCTGCAAGCACACGGCGGGGGCTGAGCTCACCCTGGCTGGAAGAAGATTTGTCCCTGAAAATATTTTCAGACCGCATCAGAAATCACCAGGTTGCAAGAATTGCTCGGGAGATGTTTTTATCATCCCTCAGGACAAAGGTGGACCCTGCACCAGCACCCAGAGAGGTACAAAAAGCAAGCAAGGCAAATTTTAGGCTAGCGAGTCAGGATTCAACCACATCTTGATGGAATAGGAAAAATAGATTGAAGATACCCCAGGGTCAGAGCCCTGCACACCGCAGGGGAGACCCCTGCTTGCCACTGCCTGGGGAGCCCAGAAGATCAGCCAGCTCTTGTGAGGAGGGGGAGGCAGCACATCGCAGGTATACAATGCCTCCATTGAGGGCAGACACTTGCACTAAAAAGCTCTTCATTACGAGTTATCATGAAAGTTTGGGGGTTGGGGTTTGGTTTTTTTTTTAGTGTCCGATACACTTCTCGGCAGAGGAACGGTGTTGCTGCTGGCACAGGAACCGCTGTCAGCAGAGCTTGCAGTTACCTAAACAAAGCCTCTCAGACAGATGCCTTCCAGAAATAAGTTGAAGTCTGCCACACCTAAAAGCACCCAGAGCTGAAACTGGAGAGGAGATGACCCATTCAGTGTCCAGCCCATCCACACCCGAGTCCCTCCCTTCACTTGCTGAAAACCCATAGTATTATTCCCACTTCTCAGACCTCAGCCCCACACAGGCTGTTCTAGGCAGAGTAAATGCTGTCACAGGGCACTTTGGGGACACAGCTCTCTTGGGAAGGTAGAAGAGACCACAGCTGTGCTGAGGGTTCAGGGAGGAAGCCTGGTGCCCCCCACTTTAAGCCTGGCTTGGAGGGGCACAAGGCCAGCACCAGATGATGAGGGGTCCTTCAGGAACAGGGCTCCTGTCCCCATCTCTAACCACAGCCAGGAGCTTCCCAAAGCACTTTTGTCCGTGCCTGCCCTGCTTACCCCTCACTCCATCCTTGTGCAGTGGCTCTGCCCACAATCCTCTTAGCAGTGTGGTTCAGTGGGGAGGTGGGGGAGCTGGGATATGCCTCCAGCCCGTCGGCATCCTGTGCAGTTTGCTCTCCAGCAGCGGCTGCACTGGATGGTACGACAGCACCCTGAGCCCAGGAGCAACCAGGCAGGAGGGAGCTCCTTCAGCTCGCACGGCTCCCAGAGCCCTGTATGGCCAAGCACTGCCTCCTGCCTGGCCGAGGGCTCGGGCAGCAAACCCAGCTGCTGGGCCGGTAAGCCCGGAGAACCAGTGATGCTCTGCTGTGGGGCGAGTCGTGACGACAGCCTTCTCCAAGCAGAAAGGCAGCTCTGCGTTAACACAGGGCGGGCAACTTTGGTTGGTGAAACTAATGAGTCTGTTGAAAGCATGGGGTTTGA